TAATTTTTATCTGATATGTCAATTATATGTAACCAAGTAAAACAGACCAGATGTAAGATTTGAATCTACAGCTGTGCATTTTGAAGCTCAAACGATATACTGAACATTAAACACAACCAAACCAATGACATCATTTAAAGGCTTTATATGTGATTTTTTTGATCCAGCAGATGTCGCCCTTGAGCACCAGCATGAAACCAAAACAACTCGCGGTGCATTGCTGTGTTAGCATGCTAATGCTAGCGATCTTTATTATGCTCGTATCTTCACACTGCATGTAAATCTACCCGAAATGACCATGCTCTAGAAACGCAGTTAAGCAGTGAGTACAGTATGTTGTTCTTCTTTTCTCTAGACCCTCAATTAAACAACTTTTATTCGTGAGGGGAGGAGCCAGCTGCCATCCCGGCGATGTCAACAAACTGAAAATATGACTCGGAAAACATCACAGACAGTGGGACTCGGGTGTTACACCGATTGTAGACAGTCATTACTCAGTTATTTTCAGAGGATATACTTGATTTCTATTACATTTAAGTGTGAAATTTTTTTAAGCTAAGTTATCTTGAGATCATGTAAATGTGTATGAACCAGCGGTGAAACAATTAGAGAAGACTGTTAGTAAAGAAAAAAAAAATTTTAAGTAAAAATGTTGAACAAAATTTCCAAAGTTTTTGAGATTTGTATACTTAAAACTACTACAGTGATCCAGGCCAAGTACAAGTCTGCAAGTCTGTTTCAGAATCAAAACATTATTTTAGCAAGTCTAGGAAAATACTTTGTAGCCATAAAGGTTTTTATAAATATACCAGACTGTAGGGAAGGTAGGGTTATTTTTACCTTTGCGTCTCTCATTCCCTCAGGCAAAGTAAACAAAAACAAAGTTTCTTTACGTAAATGTAAAAAGCCAGACAGAATGAATCCATGAAAAGGGAGGAGAGAAAGTTCACAAACAAAGCAACTCAACTCTGCAATGTTTGCTATCATTAATATTCCACTTTCTACCAAGTTTTTTTAGTAACTCACCATTGCTTTCAGATAACAACAAAATGCTGAAATGAGAATGTTTACTGGACCACTGTACAAACTTTAATTCAGTGCAATTCTTTTAATTGAAACAGGACATTGGAATGTTTTGACTACTGTTCACAGCAACATGGTGAGGAGGAGGTATATTAAAGATGCTGATCCTGGCTGGAACGTGACATGCACGGTTTGTTATGACAGAGGCTGTCTGAGAAAGCAGAGCACAGAAGGTATTTGTGGCTACAAAAATAAAAAATGTCTGGAGGAGGCTTCAAGTTTTTGCAGGAACCATCTCCATATAGTGTATTTTCAAAACGGTAAAAGGCTTCAGAAATGGTAAAGTTAGATTTTATAGTGTGTTCATCAGGGTACAAATAATAAATCAGTAAACCAGTTCTGTATGTGGATCAAGAGAACGTTAATTTTCAACAATCTTGACAGACACGAAAGCATTTAAGATCTCCATGGAGTCACATCCACCCACAGCATGTTTTCACTTACTGCTAATCAGCCCTCTCACGACTCCATGTACTGACTGTGCTTGACAGCGTCCTGGCTCCTCTGGGTTTTTATTCTCACCTCGTAATTCCCGTCATATATCAAAAGCAGACATCAGAGAAAATAAATGAAATCTTCTCTGTGTAGGTGTTTAGTACCTTTAAGATACCAAGCGGAAACATTAAACATTCACTACAGTAGCTTATCAAATGTGAGGATTGTTCAATTCCCTTTAATAGTTGTTGCACATTGAATATATATATATATATTTTTTTTTTTTTACCCGACTGTTTAAAGATGTTTTATACTATATTTTATGGAGACTTCGAATTTGTGCTGGGCTGTTTTAGTAGCTACAGAAAGAGGAATACATCAACTTTTTTTGAGAGGGTCGATACAACCCTAAAGTCGGTGTGTTATGTACACAGGTGGAGCCAAAAGATTCTAAAGCTTAGCGTAAAGAACAGTGGGTTAGCGCTAGCCTGGCTGAAGCCCATATGAACTTAATCTCACTTTCTCCACTCTGACCCCCCAATATAATGGTAGGGGAAACACTGATGTGTATTGTATCCCCCATATTATATCAGACTTCAAGTTAAACATAAGCAAAGTTTAACTAAGCAAAAGTGAGAAAATACACAAGAAGTGGAAAATAAACCTTTAGATCACGCACTGATTCTTTTACAGAAATGAATTCCCAAACAGATAAATATAGTTATTTGAATTGAATTAAAATGTGAATGAATCATCAGTTCAGTAGATCAATGTTACATGCATTTTGTCATTCTATTAATCAAGCTGATATGTCTTACAGTTTAGGCAGCGTCACTGAATGATACACAGCTTTCTCACTGCTTGTAGCTGTTGTGTTCCAGTAAACTTTCAATCCGTAACACACAAACACACAGCGACTTCTACAAATCCCTTTTCACTCAGACACACAGAGCTACTACTCACATCAAGAGTCACTAAGCTGGCTGATGTCCAATCATGATCAATCAGCTTTAACCAGCCAGACGTAGCTGTAGAGCCTCAGCCGAGCTCACAGCACAGAGCTCATTGATCCCTGGTGGTTAGAGAGTCACAGGGCAGCAGGTCAGCCTGATCTGCAGGGCTTCAGTCACTCTACTCCCTGAAGACAAACGTCAATACAAACACCAGCGGACATTGCAATGGAAAGAGATGCTTTATCTGGACAAACAAATGCTCATGGTCCAATCAACAGACCAATCAGCTCATCTGGTCTTGTACAGACTAGTTGAAGCCCTTAACCTAGTATGGGCTGGCTTAAGTAAACTTAAATACAATGACTATACATACCTTAGAGCCAATTTAGTAGTTAATGATTAGTGGTATAGATAATGGATGGATGATGGATGGATGTAACCCTTGATACTAATTACCGGTATGTCAGACCAAACATAAGTGTAGTTTGAGAGGCCGTATGATATACATGTCAGAAGTCATTGCTACTTCGTCATAGGTTTCTATTTAATTGCTTCAGGAGGCATTTTGTTTTTTCAGTCCTTTGAGTTACAAAAAGAGCCTATCAACTAGTTTATGTTTAAAAAATAGTTCTGTCAATGTACCAAGTGTATCTATGAAATTCATTGTGTGTGTGTGTAAACACAGCTGGCCAATAAATCTGATTCTGATGAAATCAACAAGAGTGGATTTACAGTACAAGCATTATTGAGCCTTTATGTTTGACATGTAAGCAATATGACAAGTCAGCCAACCATGACAGGTAGGGTAAGTGTACATTCAGAATTACTTCAGTGCAATGAGCCATCTTTATGGTTGTAGTGTTTTTCATGATTAGGATCATTGCAGTGCTGCAGCTGCAGCGCTGTGTACCTCGGCTGCAGCACCGTGTACTGCAGAGGTGATGCAGCTTTTACTTATCGATCTAGACTTTCTGTTCCCATAATTACTCACGACTACATTCAAATATCTCGAATGTCCCAGTGACTGAAAAAAATGCTGCTTTAGAAAAACTACCAATGAGACATCAGAGGATGAGACAGGGAGGACACACACACACACACACAGACACACACACGCACGTGCGCACGCACGCACGTTTAAGGTATTATAGTAACAACCCAACTTAACATTATATTGAATAAATAATGTGCACAGAGTTTAACCAATAAAGTAGGTAAGTAGAAAAAGATCCATAATAAATGTATATAAAATGTCCCACACATTGCAAACAATGCTTCGTCTTTCAGTTGATACATGTTCAGAAAGTTTAACATTGTTGCTTAAAATTTAGAATACTTAGCTTTTTTCTACCCCACTCATAACTCATAACGCTAAAATAAACTGTCTTTAAAACCAGCTAAATCTGCGACACAAGTTCACTTAAGTTAGGTTACAGAGTCCACACTGAAGTTGAAGCTAGCTAGTTTCAACCTAAAGCCATGTTGATGTTTGGTTGCATCACGACTTCATGTGCAATCTGAGCCAAAGTGTGTCATAAAGTCCAGACCCACAAAAAATGATCACAAAAAATAATGTTTCCCACTACCTGTAGCCAATACTGTAGTGTGTCGTCTTCCATGCCCAGTTTTCTTTGAATAATTTGCTGTCCATAAGCTGAGAGGCTTAACACCTTCAACAGGTAATGTTGATAGAGGACAACTAGAAACAAAGGCTGTGTCTGAAATCATCATATATAGTACACGTAAATGGAAATTGGCCATCCTTGCCTACACCAGAGCACTCTTGTTTCTCTACTTTTCTTAAATAGATTAATGACACTTTTCATTACAGATATTTGTCATATCATAGTGGAAAACTGAACATATGAAAACAACAACACATAACTCCATTCCAACAATTCTTGCAGCTGCAACAACTGATCAATAGTAACTGAATCAACACACAACAATATTGATAACCAATCAATAAGTGAAGCCATGTCCGGCCAAGGCAAGTATTAAAATCTGAGAATCCAACCAAATCTACACTTCTTTCCAAGTTCATCTACAAATGATACACTAGTCAACTAGAACTACATAGTGTATCTTTCATTGCACAAAAACACACTTCCAGATGAAGTATTCTGACAGTAAACCTAATTGGTGTATTAATGTTGAGTGTATTGTCACCAAATGTAGCCTAAACTTCCCAAGTCAACAGATAAACGTATTCCATAGGCCCTAAACTCAGCACGTGCATCAATAGGCAGAGAGGTTTATTCAAGTATTCAAAGATTGAAGATGCTGAAACACACATTCATGAGCCCGGTGCTTGTCATGCTGCAGGTTTCTGCATGGGACACTATTCACAGGCAAGTCTATGCACATGCATATTTAATGTCCATCCAGAAATACAATCAAGCATTTTAACACTTCTGTTAAATAATGTAATGACCTCAAACTCTTTCATTTAAAACAAGTTTGACCCAATATGGATAGGCTATACTGTGGGTCAGAAAAAGAAAAACACTGAGTTCAGAAATCACTCACCTAAATGTTATCTTATCTGCCGGTGCGACGCACGAGGATGTAACCTTACCGGACTCTCTTGGGACTTTGTCCGGTGTGTCTGCGGTGTGTGATTCTGTCCTCTTTGACAAACACCGTCCTGTCTGCAGCTCTGCTATGTGTAATTCTCTCCTCTTGAGAACACCGTCCTGTCTGCAGCTCTGCGTGCACTCACTCCCGGTTCATTTACTGAAGTCTCCGCCGACTGTAAAACAGACCACCGCCGCCGCCGCCGCCGCCGGATGCAGTCAGAGCTGATCCAGCCCGGAAACAAACTTCATCAATATTACATTCACGTGTAAAAATAGCCTCGGCATTTATCCATGCATTATTTCTGCTGTTCTCTGCCATGGTTATACAAGCTTTGTTTTTTCTTTAGGTTATTAATTTATACAACAAAGTTTTAGCAAACTGTTTATGTGAGAAGTAGCCTATATATAAAAAAAAAACAGTTACACGGATTGAGTCACAACAAAACAAATCAGACTGGTATTTTTTTTTTATATGACATACATGGAAAATAAATGAAGAGACAATACACTTGTAGAGATTCAAAAGAGACTGAAAAGTAATTATGTACCAGAGGTTTCCAATAACAAACGACCCCACAGAATTGAGATTTTTGAGTGCTATTTTGTAACTGAATCAATGGTTGGATCAATATCCTATTTGTTTCCAATAACAAAAGCCACACATCAGTCACCACAGATTTTGGCTTTATGTGCACCTTTGACCTCTGTCTCTCTATGTTTACATTACATTACAGATAGATTAGATTACTAGCCTACATGATATTTTCAGGGGAAAGAAAATCTAATCTCTTAAATACCCTGAACAGGTCTTCCTGTTTCCTCTACAAGCTAACCCACTGCTGATGTGATTTTCTTTCTCTTTTTTTATATTAAAAAAGTCAGACTTTTGCCTTACATAAATGCACTACACTATACTAAGTAAATAGGCTATATATAGGCTATATACACATGAACAAATACAGTTAAAGATTGTAAGCTTCTCTGATTCTAACAGGACATCCCAGCACCAGCATTAACTGTTTTTTTTCCAGTCAGGCCCCTCCCCTCTAATGAGGGAGGCTGTTGCTGTGACAACCCTGCATTATGCAGCCACCAATGAAAGACTCTTTTCAGATTAAAAAAAGAAAAGAAAAGAAAGAAAGTAGAAAAAAAAGTTATTTGCATTCCTTTTCCATTAAAGATTTTGTGTGATAGAAAAACGGCGCGATGAGGTTTATTGTGTGGTTTGTATCAGAGGAGGAGGAGGAGGAAGAGGAAGAGGAGGGGAGGCTGAACTTGAAGCATCTTAAGGCCTCAAAGAAAACTAGTGCACTGTGTGTGTGTGTGTGTGTGTGTGTGTGTGTGTGTGTGTGTCAGTGTGTGCATGCCACAGTCAAAGGGCACCTGCTTAACATGCAGTGCACAATCACAGGCTCAGTGCAAATATTTCTGGTCGTTTCAGCACTCCACCTCTGTGATAACTTCATAAAAACAACTTAAATCATAGTTAAAGCAGAACAAACTTAACTTTAATTTATCTCCATAATAAAAAAGGGTAAACAAATCCACTGCATATTTGTTCTTTGGTTTTGATAATTAAACACATAATGAAGCAGGCTGTTAAAACTCAATACTCATTATCAAACTTTGGATGTCAGGGGAAAAATCGATACTGGTGTTTTTGCCTTGAGTGATTTTAATAAAGAATCAAATCAGAGCTTCAAAGAAGAACCAGTTGATAACCTGCACCACACTGTCTCATAAGTATTTAATCAAACAAAGCTGCATGTTTCACACTTTTAGAGACAAACCAGAGATAGTTTGATCATAATGCCTTCCTGCTCTGCTCTCAATGCCTGCACCTGCTGTCATCAGTCCAGCAGAGCATGGCGGGATTAGCACAGACGCTACTGAATGGCTGCTGAATAATTGACCAACTTCTTTTGTCTCTCTCACGCTGTTTTGATTGAGCATATGTTTAGGAGCCATTTGAAATGAAAGTTTGCTTCGGAAGAGGTTATTATGGGGCCTCTTCTAAAGTGAATCAGTTCTGGCTGCAAGGCCCAGTAAACAATCACATTTAGAAAGACAGAGTAGAGTTATTAGTGAACAATAACAGATGCTTTTTTCTGAAGATAAATCCTACTTACTGTACAGAAATAAAGGATCTGGGTTTTCTTTACTTAATACAGTGGTCTAGAGTCATTTTAAACATTATTTTAAACATTGTACAGTTTTAGGTAGGCCTACTTGTACTTTACCTGAGTTTACTTCTACTCCATTATGACATGGAAGCCCTGAGTAGAAATATATCCATATACTTAATTTACTCCATTTTCCTGTGATAGCGAGTAATTTTCTGTTGTTCTATTGAGATCTTGACCTACTTTACTCGAGATAACAACAGTAGTTTTCCCATGAGGCTATAACTCGATTGATCTCATTGTCTTGAGGTCATTTTACAATGACAAGTGAATGGACTAGAAACTATAGACGACATACATAAAGACATGAACATATTTAGAGACTTCATTTAGACATATTTTTATTTTACATAATGATGCTGGGATGATGACGGTTGAACTTGGTGCCATAGTTTGCTAGTAATGGTTGAGTCATATAATTACAATTTCATTTGTAGATTGGCTTTAAAAATATTCAAACGCTAGCAGCTTGGTGTGGACTCCTAAGTCCAACAAGAAGCATGCTAATTGCTAACGTGGTGAGACCTTGTTAACTCAAAATTTAGGAAAACAAGCGTGATGAAGACAACGAAGAGGTGGACTTCCTGAACAAGCTTCATCACTGTAGTGAACATCATGAGCTGAAAATAAGCTACGTCTGCTCTGTGCTGTGTCACTCAGGATGATTTCAGGTAGGCTATACATCTTGTAAACAGTTGTTAGCCAGCATGACTTGCATTTTGCTGTTTTCATGCTAACGTTTGATGAATGTCCCTTTGTATGAAGTATTAAGGCCTAACTAAAGCATTGCAGTCATTTTTTGTTCACAGATTGATTCTTTTATAAATCCACAGATGCTTTTTGTTTTGGTTTGATTAAAATAGTGATTGTTTTTCAATAATGTACAGAATTCATTTTGCTTGTGTCATACAATCAGAAATGGGCATTTCCACAATGTAGGCTACTTTGGATAACTAAGTCTAGGTCTCTGTAGTGATATAACTGTATTGGCAGAAATTATGAGCCCCGGCCCCTGCTACAAACAACCCAGCGCTCCATAAGTAATTGTCATGACCCCTTTAAGTATATTTATTTTCCTTAAGCAATGTTTTATTGCATTTATTACCCTCCAAGTATAGCTCCATTTGTATTCTTACCTTATCATTATTTAGAATCATTTTCTTTTAATGTAGGGCTTTAACTAGGAACAGATTTTACTCCGTTAATTATGAAAAAGCAAAATATTTAAATAGACTTCTTTAACCGCTGGCTACAGCATGGGATTTGTATCTGAAATTGATCTTGACTCTTTTGAAATCTTATGCATCTTCTTTTTTTATGGTATTGAGTAAATCATCTCTTAGTTCAGCAGTTTAAAATAAGAAAAACAAATTAAGCATTGCATCGTCAAACTGTAAGTTGGAGTTGAGCTTAGATGTAGCTCTGACAGCCTCCTTTGATTGAAAATATGAATATAGTGGAGCACCGATAGCCTAGTGGTTATGTCGCGAGCCCCATGTACAGAGGTTATTGTCCCCTGACTGTCGGTTCAAATCTGACCCCAGCCCTTTGCTGTAAGTCATCCCCCACTTTCTCTTCCCAACGTTTTCTGTCTCTCTTCAGCTGTCCTATATAATAAAGGCAAAAGATCCAAAAAGGCTGTTTGAAAAAAAAAAAAAAGAATATTGTCTGAGCCACAGATTATTCCATTGATTGTTCATTTAGTCTATGCACAGTCATAAATTATTGCTGTAAGACATCTGTGTTAAATCTTCCCAGAATGCAATGTTTCTTCAAATTCTTTGTTATACCCCACCTCCAATACAACAACAAATGATGTATCACAGACAAGCAGCAAACTGTCACATGTGTCAAGAAACAACCAGACAGATTTTTTTGCTCAAAAAGTGCAAACTGTGAATCAATTATCGAAATAGTTGCCGCTCAGTTTTCAGTTCTTTAGGGACTGTTCTCTGGCTCTCTACTTCAGTGTTGTCCTGTCTCTGAGTGTGTGAAAAACAACTTGGCCTTACAGGAAAAGGAAGTAGTTCATCACATCAGTGCAGATTGTAAAACATTGCAGCTCACCCGATGCCCGCATGTCCTAGAGTTTTTTCCAATGTGTTTCTTTCACCGTGCGTCTTCAGGTTCAGTGGTACCTTGATTTCACCACGTGTTTGAGATTTATAGATCTGAAGGAAAGGGGAAAAAACAGCATCTTCATCACAAACTCTTATCTCTCCTTCACAATGACAAATAAGGATTTTGTTTCATTATATTTCACAAACATTTAACAAAACATTTAACAAAACGGACACAAAAATAGAGTAATAACAGAGAAAGAAACAAAGACTTAAACAAACATATACATAACATCTAACAATAGAGACCGGTGATACTGGTTGTGAAGGTCTGTAATTAGTGTCAGGCCATGTTCAGGTTCTGCATGTGCATGTGTGAGTGTGGTTGGGGGGGGGGGGGGTGCTTAGTTGGTAGTGGTGTTAGGAGGGTGTAAGGATGGGTGATGTAAGTAGGACTCATACAGAAAATTTGGCCTCCAGAAACCACAAAAGTGGCCCCCCAAGGACACAAGTGGAGAGGGGAAAGAGAAGAAATATATAAATAAGTAAAAAATCTAAATAAATACATAGAGGAAGTCTCGTAATCAGATTGGCTGTTAATAGTATCTCTGTGTCACTCTATGGATGTCTCATTGATTTCCCCAGTAGCTGTGGTAGAATGAGTCCCTGCATGTTGAGGAAATGCTGTAGAGGCTGTAGCACAAATATGTAGTACGTTGATGTATTGTTTTTGCTTAAAGGTCAGAGGGAATCAGTGACGAGAATCAGAAGTGACAATGTGTCCTTTGCAGTGACAGTGGGAGTAAGGTCATGTAAGGGACCCTGGAGTAAAACCATGAACAGACCTTCATCTGAAACCAAATGGTCCCTGACAAATAAACTAAAGATTGCACCAAAAAAAATAGGAATGGAAATCACAGGGTAACTGTATGATGCATAGCGATACAATACTAGGCTACATGATCAG